CCCTTCGGATGCTAGTAGGAGTTAGCTGACATAGGGAAATATTGTAATGGATCAGCAAGTCTCGGACGAATACGTCCAAAGGGAACCTCATCCCATACTGAAGTTGTCTTGTGTACACCCCCACATACCCCGGGGGTGGACGATGGATTCTATCGGATGCCACGGGCATTCGGCACCAATACCCATCAGCTTCAAGGATGCCGTAATGCAACTCGATTTGTTCGGCAAACCGATACTGTTCGGCATTCTCCACCCACCATGAGTAGGGGCGGTTCTTTATCATGGCCGAAGCTACTTCGGCATCCTCCCACTCTGAAAACCCGGGGAGGATATCCCAAAGGACAGCGGGAACTTCATCGTCCCGCCCAGAAGCGCTCGGCCCCTCCGTTCTCTGAGGAGGAGCCGAGGAAATTGGAGTCGCCCTAATCCCTTCAGCAGGGTCAGACTCTGCTCTTTGTCCATTCCAGGTCCTAATCCTGTTCCTAGGATCGGGAATTGGCCTTGCTCTTCTTGGAGCACGGGCTCTACCCCTAACTCCTCTTGCCATTGATAATTTCGAAGAAAAAAGTCGAAAAAAAAGAGGGAAGGAGTTCGAATTCGAAGAAAAATAAACTAAAATCAAAGGAATTTACCTTAATCTGAAGCGAAAGTTGCCGATTTACGAGTTCGTAGTGGCAAGTCTCAGTTTCTAAGCTTAATGCTCGGGGAATTTGCGAAGTTTTGATGCGGGTTCTTGGGTTCTCTCGAGAATTCTGGGTTTGTGTTGGTGAATAAGTGAGGAGAGATGACGCGCCTCTGATTATATCTCCAGAAATGGGAATACGGGGAGTCCGCGTTTCAATTTCTCTTAAATACCCCACTAAGTAACCGTTAAACACACGACCTTGCGATTAAACTGCCCATTATCCGTCCAGCTTCCACAATCATCAGCCTTAACCGTTGTTATCTCATTAATTACGGTTTAAATTCAAATTTTTGGATTAATTAAATCATTCACTTCCCTCCTTTTCTGATTAAATCAAACCCGACCCGTCATCCTTCCAAATCGGGTCTGGGGGGCAAGTTGTTTGGGTCCAAATTAGTCCAATTGGGCTTAGGCATTAAATGATCCAATTAAAAGCCCAAGGTCAAGGTTCATCTCTCCAATTGTGCTAAAGTCAAAGATCAATCCTCAAGGCAAACCAATTGGGCTAAGGCCCAAATTCTCCATGTATGAAGAGGTATAAAAGCCATCAATATTACATTTTTACATTCATTCAAGCAAGGCCTCAAGCAACTAATTCTCTTGCATAGTGTTCTCTTTCTACACATTGTACTGACTCTAGCATCGGAGGGGCCTTCATCGGCAACACCCCCGAGGCTAGTTTACGTGTGTTTACTGTGCAGGAAACCTTCGGCCCAACATTTCTTGGATCGAATCTAGTCTTCTCCACTTCATCGGACCTTCGGCAAGGTCCTATTGTTTTCACCCGAAACAACAAGTATTGTATCATGTATATAGATCAAAATCATTACATGTAATGTAAAACGTAAATAGATTGAGGATACGTACTTTGTTGTCAGACTTTCAACCATATGCGCATGATTTCCTTCTCTGCGACCTTTGGAGCTCTTACTCGATTTGCCACCCATTCTTGTTGTTTCTCTGCAGGCATCGCAATATATATCTTTAAATTCAATAATATAACAAAACTAGGGAAGATACAATGATATAAGGCTAAACTAAAGTAGAGAACGAAGATACAATAATATATACAAGACTAAACAAAACTATACAATAATGGCTCATTGCTTGCCTTAATTTACTGGTTAATGCACTTAGAAAATTCATATGATTAGCATTAAATTTTTAAGCTAAAGAGTGATGGATTAAAAAATACGAGTATATGTAATACTAGTGTAGTTTTTAGCCTTACATATATATTTCTCATTATATAAGGGAAGACAGGAATTGGTAGGCATGGACGTCATGACAATTATATTTACAAATGAGATTTTTTTTTTAAATTTTTTTTTTTATGGAGACAACTAATTAACTTAATTTGATTATAATACATATTGAAACTTGACCTAGCTTTGCTTGCAAGGCTTGTATAGCTAGTCGTCATGGAAGTGAACTAAAGGCACAATAGAAGCGTATGCATGCTAGAACAGTACTTAATAAAGTACTCTATAGAAGCTGAAAAATGCAAAAAATAGATTAACTAGTCAATAGTAGCACAATATTTCAAATTTTTGTGTAAAAAGAGCCGCTAAGAACAAACAATGTATGCGAGATTTAATCTCAAGTCTTGAAAATCACTTTCCTATGTTTTGTCTTAAGTTTTGAATACCATTCGTTGAGAGCAAATTTTGGAGTGACCGCTTTTTTAGTCAGCTTAGGGCTTTATATATAAGTTATTTCGTTTGGAATTTAAAGGCTACTGTTTCATTTGTATTATATTGAGACACACAACTCTTTTGAAGCTTTTTAATTATCTAAGAGGATGCATGCATAGACTTTTAATCACAAATGAAATATATATATATATAAAAATCAAGTCAAACTGAAATAGATTATGTTTATGAAAACTAAAACTATTATTTAGGGTTCGTTTGATATTGCAGTAATTTTCTGTTTTTTGGTTTAAGTTTTTCAAAAGCATAGGACATATGTCATATAACGAATAAAAAAATAGTCAAACTTATTAAAATCATGATAATTTTGAAAAACTAAAAACAGAAAAGTGGAACACTTTTTTATGTTTAAGTATTTGGCTTTTTGTTTAAATAAAATAGTAAACATAAATCAAACAACGATGTCAAACAAGTGTTACTTTTATTAGAATTTGTTACTTACCACTACCACCTTTTTAATTGTTGATTCAAAGGTTTTATATATAACATAAAATGTATGTAGAGTACTTTTTGTCGGATATTCTTTTTCTCATAACTCAATCATAAGGTTGTATAAATTGAATAGAAAGCAGGGGTGAAGCTTGGAAGTAGGAGACCATAAAATCTGTAAGAGCTTTGGACATGATACAACTAAGATTTAATTTGTATCTTATAATTAAGAAGACAATTGTCATGGCCTTATTGATGTTAAGCTTATTTATTTCAAAAGAACTGGTCTTCAATTATGTAATATAGTAATAATATAGCAGATGCAAACTAATAATCAAGAAGAATATGTCAATGATATTTTGTTCAACTCTTAATAAATACTGTATTTAAAATCAATTGTACTCTATGTACACAAGCAAATAGGAGAAAAAAAAAAAGTTTGATTCCACACCGATTAAATAATATACTTATTGTAAGGCTACAATGTTACATAAGAAATATGGATAAATATGCACAGGTCAAGCCTTAAGCATTTTCAATATTAACAATATGTGAACATAATTACGTAAAATATTTGCATTGAAAATTACTAAAAAATTGACGTAGACTATATAGAATAAGTAATATCGATAAATATAGCAAAATCCGATCATATAAATTTGTAATTAATATAGCAACTAGCAGTATTAACCCTTGTGAATGCGAGTTAAGGGTATAAATATGTAAGTGGATATTGTATCCTAATCTTTGGGGGAAAATAATTGAATTGATAGCGTAAGCGGAAAATTCAGTCTTGTTATAAACTTAAATTGACGACTTTAAAGAAGAGAGATTTCAAACTTGTGTAAAAGTAGTATATTGTTTCTGACTTCCTGTCCTCATTAATTATGTGAATACTTTCATTTTCTTCCTTTCTAATTTGTTTTGTCACCTTTTTTGTTTTTGGGTGGTAGTTAAGTAGATTTTATCACAGTTTTTATTAATCGAGTATATTGAATGATCAATGAATTGATTAATTAGGGTAGGTAAGAGACAAATCTAACAATCTGCGTACGTAATTTGATACATACATGTATTTTCTCAACTTATAATGTAACCTTCTAATGACAATGTAGTACATAAACTTAAAACTTATCTTTCAAAGAAACATCTATGTTCATATGTACGAGTAAATAATGTTGTCCCCGTCAAAATTAATAATAATGTTGTCACAAATTATACTTATAATAGTATTTTTTTTTTTATTTTTTTTTTCTGAAACCATATTTTAATAGTATTTTATATAGCTGTCATTTGAAAAATTGGCTATCATATTATTTTAATGATATGTAATATGATCGGTTTATTATTTTCACATTATAAAATGGCCATAATTAGTCTTATAATATCTACAATGTAAATATAAATTTATAAAATTTAAATCCAGCATAAAATAAATTTCTTCTGAGAAACTATAAATTAAGAATAAAATTTACATAAATGAAAATATTAATTTGATAAATTTAAAAATATGTTGATAATACTATTTAATATCATTAATAAAGTAATATAATTAATTACGTGAAAAAAATATGTCAATTATAAACTTTATAATCATTAAAATATACATTACAGAGTAGTCATATGAACGGTAAAGTTTTCATAATATACAACAAAGTCAACAACCACAATGGGCTCCAAAACTAACGGCAAGGGAATTGGGCCACCTCACCGTGTCCATTCCCAACAGAACCAGGCCCAGGCGCCCAGTAGTCCAACCGTTGTGCCAGGCTTCACCATACGCCTCTTCAGCAGCTCGTGGGCCTCCTCAGCATGCTTACATGGCAGGACCGGTTGGCGAATACGGATAATGGATTGGTACATGGATTCGGATGCAACATTTTATATGACTCATAACTCAGGAGTTCTATGCCCTTATTTAATTTAAGCACTAATAATTATATTTTAGTTGATAATGCTCAGCGGCTCAGAGCATTTAATTTCAATTAGCTATGATACATATAGAACGATATACTACCTCCGTAACAGGTTATGTGCAACGATTAGACATTTTTTCTCTCTGCTTTATATCAAATCGTTGCACATATCATGTAACGGAGGTAGTAACTTTTTTGCTTCCGCTCATATATAACCACTTGTACAACAGCAGTCAGCAGCGGGAGGTTCTCTATAAATTAATCTCGAAAAAGCTCGTGTTGATGACGGAATAGATACTTGGTGCCAAAAGTGGAACGGTAAACAACCAGCAACAACGGGAAATGCAGCCGGAGATACACAACACCGGTAACCCAAGCAAAGACGACAACAATAATCCACACCGGTTTGTTGGGCAAAAGGATAATAATAGACACGGTGAATGCCAACAATATTGCCAATATGGAGAAAAGAAGCATAACCAGTCCAACCATCAATTTCAACGGCAATGATACTAAGAAGTCATCTTCCGCATACGTCGAAGTCACAATAGATAGGAATGTTAAAATTGACGCAATTGAGCAAAACAAGGAGAATGCATCTGATATAACAAATACCAAAAATAGCTTCTCGTTCTTTTGCTTGTCTGGTGGTTGATAAATCGCTTGGAAGACTGCAGCTGCGACTAGAGTCGCGACAACCATACATGATATGGAGGTCTTACGCATCCATTTCTCCCCGTCTGTTCTTAATTGTTCATGTTCTCTGTTGAACATCTCTCGTGGCGTCTCCCTATCTTCCATTACTTCTGTATCTGTGATGCTTGCTTGCGGTTGAGGCGTTAACATTGAATTTTCTGTGATGCTTACTTGCGGTGGCGTTAACATTGAGTTTTCTGAATGGATGATTCTAGTGTAGTTATCGACTACGGACGATTATGGTCAACTACGATTACAGACTAAATCTCAACCGTTGATATTTTTTAGTGCTTAATCTTAGCCTTTGTAAAAAAATTAAAATTTTTTAAAAAAATCAAAGTCACACATCATTTAAATCATGACAAGTCAGCGCCCAGTCAGTGCCTAGTCAGCAAAGAGTTGTTTGATTTATTACTTTTTTTTTCAAAATATAAATTTTTTAATATATACTTATATTTTAGTATTTATCTTAATTTTAACGATCAATTGAAGAATTCTCATATGATTTATTTCAAAATCATTTTGATAGCTTCATAATCATATTGATAGTTTCAATCTTCTTTAATGGTGCACTCCACGCATCTTCAACCTTCAACCTTTATTTTTTTGTCCAAATCTCATCCTTAAATTATCAAAGTATATATGAGATCAATATTATTAATGTATAATCATCATATTTATGCATCAACTTATTAGCTAATGAGATTAAAATCAATTTACTTATATGTATACATAATTTGGTTAAGAAAATCATGTATTATCTTATGATTTCGTATTTAATTTTATTATTTATATGATTTTTCAGTAATACGCCATTGTTGAATGTTGAAGCTACAATACCATTGATGAACTTGGGAGTTAGTTTATGATGAAAAAATAATAATAATTAAAGAAAAAAAAATAACCTTAAAGACTTACGTGTTAAATATAGAGTAAAGATTTTATTGTGTTTGCCTTGTAGTCAAAGGATAACAATCAGTTTCCATTCAAAAAAAAAAAAAAAAGGATAACAATTAGTTTCCTTATAGTATGCCTACTATTACATCTTATGAACTTAGCTTGTTTATTGGCTGAATTGGTGTTTGTTACTCCGATATTGAAGGAAAATATTCCCTCATCATTTACTATGTAATTTTGTCTTTTTATTTGATCTAGAGGGCATTACTTTGGGAGGGAATATGTGACAAAATATTTTTCTATATTTTATTGTTTCAGTTTTTTTAATTTTTTGAAAACCGCCGAGCTAGTGCATATATTAATCAAGGGACAAAGTGTCCGAGAGTACATAAGGAGAAATCTCCGTAGGACATACATCGACCCAAACTTGTTCAACCCCATTCGGCACTAACTTAGCAAGATGGTGGGCAACGATATTACCCCCTCTTTTAACATGAGACCAATTGAAGGATACGAAATTACTACTTAGGGACAGAATATCCTCTAAAACCCCGTCGAAATCAGAGTAATAAATTGCTGCTTTGGATAGACGATTGATCAAAACTTGACAATCTGATTCAAGCATAGCCCTCTCAACTCCAAACCTCCTCGCCAGCTTGATTGCAAAAAGCATAGCCTTCCCCTCCGCGATCTCAACAGGCCAATTTGCACGCACCCTCCTAACTGCAGCAAATAAGACTTTGCCATGGCTATCACGAGCAACAGCCCCCATCCCCACCCATCCCTCAGCAGCCAAGCAAGCATCCGAATTTAGCTTCACTGTACCTGCAGATGGGGCTTTCCACGAGGAGCTGCTAGCTTTAAATGGGGCAGCAGTGCCTTTGTATATCATCTGAGTATACTTGCCGTGTTCCTCGACCAACCTGTTCACTCTAGCTACAAGAATCGAGTTGTCAGATTGCTTTTTGTCAAAGACCCATTGATTTCTTTCGGACCATATCACCCAAGCAAGAAACGCAGCTCTCTGTTTTAGCCTAGCATTTGACCCTCTCCACCGCACCAAGAGATCACACATACTCCCCTCTCTGTTTGAAATCAGCTCATCACACCCACACTCACTCCACAAATTCTGCACTCGAAAGCAATCGAACAAGGGCATGCTCACTTGTCTCATCTTCCACGCCACACCAAGGACACAAAGCCTCCTCTAGTAAGAGACGCCTCCGCAGCAAATCTTTGGTAGGCAGAGTGTTGAGTCCCTTAGGTTTTGAATGATGACAAACAGCTATGGGAAACAGGTTTTAATAAGTGTTGAAAACAGTTGGTTGGAACCAGCTATAATAGAACACTGTTTCCCTAGATAAGTTATTGACTATATGAGTTATCTATTGAACTAACTTATCTATATACAGGAAGCAGTTAGATGATAAATGTGCTATGTACTGATGGGGAACCAGTATGAACCGTTTCCTCGAGTGCTATGCGAAAAAGCAGTCACTTACTTTATATTGTGCATTAACCTTGTTGAATGTGCAGTATATAAGTTGATTCCAAGTCTTGAAGCAGATAGGACTTTCGAAGAGATTGAAGAAAGATCCATTGGTTACAATTGAGGTTATTCAAAGAAGGTTTTCAAGACTTGAAGTTTACATGAAGGAAGACTATATCACAAAAGAGTTATTTAGGATCTTCATGTAAATGCTCCGTAGTATAACTTATATAATTGAGTATATAAAGTGCTTTTAGTATATTAAATATCGTTATGAAATTTGGTACAAGGTTTGGAACAAATTTCATAACATATTCAGTTCAGGGAACCAGGCCAGGGAACCAGGTTAACTGAACAGATTATTCAAGCTGCCGTTTTTACAAAGATTTTATAAAAAGATATTTTCCGAAAAATATTGATTTAAAATATATCCAAGCAGCTAAGAATAAGATGATATTTTTGGTTAGCTAAAAACTAGGAAGTATTTTATCTTAAATTGATTTTATCTTGTGATCAAATCAATTAAGATAAATACTTACCATAAATCGTATATATCTTATATGCATGATTTAAGGTAACTAGGGTTTAGCTAACTAACCTATAAAAACACATCTTATTCTGAATAATCAGACACATCTCTCACGAATTAAAAGAGTTATTATTTTGAGAGCTTAAAGCACTAATTCAATTATCAAGTCATATACAAGAGCATTCTAGTACTTAAATATTTTCTCTTAATTAGCTTCGTAGAAGTGAGATCAAAGGAGAGTTCTTGATTCTTGTATTGAGTCTTTAACAAAGGGGTTAAAGGCTGGGTGAGTGTTTGTGAGTTCAAACACATTGGGCTTACGAGTGTAAGTCGAGAGCACACTCGGAGTAGAGTGTAGGGTTTGCTGGTTCCCGGAGTAGGGAAACAGCAGAGTGTTCTTTGTCTTTGTTTTTCGGAGTAGATTAATAAAGAACTTAGGATAGGAGGACGTAGGCCTGAGTTGGCTGAACCTCGTTAAATTTGTTGTCTTCTTTATTGCTTATTTATATTCCGCTGCGTACGGGAACCAGCACAACTGGTTCCTCACACATAATCCGAAAAGAAGCAAAATTAGCCAACGATTACTTAACACTCAATTCACCCCCCCCCCTCTTGAGTGCCCATTGAACCTTCAATTGGTATCAGAGCCTAAGCTTCTCGAAAGAGTAACATCTAGAGGAGTTAAGAATGAGTACTCAAGAATTAAGTGCAATCGGTTATGACAACAAGTCACCCAAGTTTAATGGAAATAATTATGCTTGGTGGAAGAACAGGATCCAGAATGTTATCATGGGTATTGATTATGAATGCTGGCTCGTAGTTAAAAATGGTCCAAATATCATTCTCAAGACAGATGTTGAGGGGAACCAGGTTCCCAAGAAAGATAGCGAATTGGTCACTGCTGATTACAAGTTGCTGGAGAAGAATGCTAAGGCAATGTCAATACTACAACAAGCAATAGGTGAGACCGAAACAAATCGTATATCTGGCTGCAGTAGTGCTAAGGAGATATGGGACACCCTTGAACTTGCGTTTGAGGGAACCAGTGAGGTAAAACGGTCTAAAATTGATTTAATCATGTCTAAATATGAATTGTTTGCCATGAATAAAAATGAAAAAATCAATGATTGCTTTCGTAGGTTTATGACTATTGTAAATGATCTTAGATCTCTTGGTAAAAATTTATCTGACGAGGATCTTGTGAGAAAATTATTGCGTAGTTTAACAGATGCATGGACAGCCAAGGTAACAGCAGTATATGAAGCAAAGGATTTGTCTACCTTGTCTCTGGAACAGCTGATTGGTTCCCTTATGACTCATGAGATGCTGATTGACTCTAAGTCTGAGAAGGAACCAGCAAGAGGCATAGCGCTTAAGGGAACAGTAGAAGATGATGAAGATGAAATTAGCATGATTGCAAAAAGATTTGAGAGATCTCTTCGAGATCAAAGAAAGAATTTCAAAGGTAAGCATTTTAAAAACTATAAAAAATCTAACTCTAATTCTTCTTCTACAGGATGTTTCAAGTGTGGAGAAAAAGGACATCTTATTCGAGATTGTCCTAAGTGGAATGACAAACAGTCTAAATCCGGAGATAAACAAGCATACAAGAATGCCATGATAGCTTCCATGTGAGGAGACTCTGACTCAGGGTCAGATGAAGAAGAAGGATCACCCAACTCAGATGTTTGCCTAACTGCCTTTACAAACATCAAGGAAAACAGCACTGGTCCAGGAACCAGAGGGGGAACCAGTACATTCAACAAATGCTTTATGGCAAAGAAGGATGTACTACATGAACGCAAGGTAAGCTTAGAGCAAATTAGAGAAGATATGCATGAATATGATAGAGAAAATATGCTTGCTTGTATTGATTCCTTACTAGATGAATGCTATAAACTAAGTGAAACATACATAACTTGCAAAAGAGAATTAAAAGAAAAACGTGGTGAATGTAATATTGCTATTGCTAGTTGTGATCATCTAGAAGGAGTCTGTTATGAACTAAAAAATCAAGTAGCAGAACTAGAGGTTGAATTGGACAAGTGTAAAGTGGAACTAGAAAAGGAAAGATCGTTTGAACCAATTGATGGTGAAGAGGATCTGACCTCCTGGTTCCCTAGAGACTTATCAACCACTAGTGATACTCTTGATTTTTCAGTAGCTATAAGTAAAGCAAATTCGTGTACT